ACTTTTATTCTGGCTTCAAATGACTCTGTTTATAGCATGCCTATTTTCTTCATTGACCTGTCCTTCACTTCAAATATATAAATTTAAAAACACAGTAATGTTTAATCCATATTCTTGTTACAGATTTCTGTCAATTGTAATGTTGTCTGATAACTACATTTTGTATAAAATTAATTATCTGAAATGTGTTGAGACTTGAATTGGTATCTGGTACATGGTCAGTTTTTGTAAATGTTACGAGAGAGCCTGGGAACAATGTGGGTTCTCATCATCAGGGAGGGAGAGCGCTCTATGTATGTCTATGAAGTGTAGCTTTTTACGTATATTCAGGTTTTCTATATTACTACTAATTTTTCAAATACTCACCTACCAACAACTCAGCAAGGAGCATTTAAATTCTACATTATGAAGACATATGTGACAATTTCTCCCTCCAGTGCTTTATGTATTTTGATTTGACTTTATTAGATGTATGCTAGTTTTGAATTTTAATTTCATCCTGGTAAATTGAACTGTTTTCATTATCTAGTGGCATTCTTTATCTTGATAACACTTTTTTTCTTAACGTCTGTTTTGCCTCATATCAATATAGCTACCCCCAAATTTCTTTTGTTTATTATTTGCCAGGCATATCTTCTGTTTGTTTGCTCTCAATCATTCAAAGCCCTATGTTTTAAGTGTGTCTCTTATAAACAAAATTTAGCTGGATTTTGTTTTTAATCAGTGAATTTATCTATCTACCTTTTTACTGATCATGAACGATGGAGGGTGTTCAGGTCATGAATAAAATAGCTCTTACAGGAATGGTTGGTTAGCTTTAACAGGGTATCCAAACAATAGCAATCCTCAAGGTTCTCCTGACTAGCGAGGACAGAGCAGAAAATAAGCACCGCTTACAGCAATGGCCTGACAGTCACATGCCTCGTCTGGGGCTGTCCGGCGTTGCCCTGCACCCGCAGTGCGGTGTCTGTAGTAGAGCGCGCAGATCCGTAGAGAGATCAGTGCTGGCTTTGCCCAGCAGGGCCGCAGACAGCCATTGGAAATACGAGGCATGGAGAGGAGTGCTGAATCCGTGCTTAGTAAAGATCCCTGATGCCTGTTAGCGCCGAGTGACTGTTAAGACAGCAGTATTAAGGGAAAATACATTGCACCATTCTATTCCTGCAGTGGCTCATACATATTTGATGTGCAGGGATTTCTTATGTTCTATAAAATCATTTTCAAGGCTTTTTAAACCTGTTCCTGAAGAATAATCTATGTGTTCTCTTAATGCTTCCTGCTAAACTAAGTTTTCATGATTGTTTCTACAAAATGACATTATTACGTTTCTCCCACTGTGCCACTGGCTTTCCTGCGTCATTTGTTTTTCAAATTCAGTCAGAGGAGGTTAAAATATTTAAAATAGTTTCTTAACCAGAGGTAGGACTAAAAAATTGCTTGATGTTTCCAGTTAAACAAAAATCAGATAACTGTGCGATTCGCCACTGGGGAAGGCAGCAACAACGTGCATGGTAGTAAAACGAAGGCCACTAAGTGCCTGGTAGGTGACAGGTGCTCTGCTCCGATGTGTGTGTAAGTGCATGTGTGTGTCCGTGTGTGTCATCTCCACTTACATATGAAAACTTAGGGCTCAGAGATGTTCAGTAATTGGCCCAAGATCACACAGCCGGGGAAGGGTTGAGCCAAGACTCACCTTCGGTCTCTCCAAATCCATCATGAGGGAAAGAATGAGCCCTGGGAGGAAACCACTGGGATTCATATCCCAACCCCACTGCTTCGAACCTGTGTGGCAATGGGCAAGTTGTTGGGGTTTTTTTTCCAGTTTTATTGGGGAGTATTTGCTATGTATCACTGTATATGTTTAAGGCATACAGCATGATGGTTTGATTTCACAGTCATATATTGTGAAATGATTACCACAATAGGGTTAGTTAACATCCATCATCTCATATAGATACAACAAAAAGGAAGGAAAAAGAGTTCTCCTTGTGATGAGAAATCTTGGAATCTACTGTCTTAACAACTTTCTTTTTTAATGCTTATTGTCCAGATTGTGTATTTGAAAAATATCCTCGGATGATGGCAGTTACGGTTTTTAAAAACTGTCTTTCACTTTTTTTAATTTAAATTTTTAATCTTTTCAATTACAGTTGACATTCAATAATATGTTAGTTTCAGGTGTACAGCATTGTGGTTTGGGCAAGATATTTAATACCCCCTTATATCTCAGTTTCCTCATCTGTAAAATAGGAGTAACAGTATCTCTCCATAGCGTTGTTATGAGGATTTAATGGGACAATGAGAGGAGATACCCAAAACAGAGCCTGGCACATAGAGGAAGCTCAAAATCTTAGTTATCATGGCTTCAGGGCACATGTTGAGCTTCTTTACCACCAATGGGTGATATTACTAGTCAAATGTTAAGGTTTCTTTAAGGTTATGTTCACCCGGTTCCCCATCTTCTTCATGTGTCTTCCCTGCCAGACTGACTCGGTGGGTCCCCGGGCTCCCGCCGTTGGCTGCCGCCGGGTTTCCCTCCAGCTGCTGTGGCGCAGGCGCGACGGTGCCCTCTCCTCCTCCATCAGGCATCCTCTGGGTTTCCCAGCTGTAAACTTCCATAGCACTTTACATTCTCCTATGGTACTCAGCGACCACACGAGTCATTCCTTCATTCTATGAACATTTCCTGAGTGCCTTGTGCATGCCTGGTCCTCTTTTAGTCACTGGGTCCCTCCCTCATGGAATGCGTATGCTCATTAGAGGAGTGGGAGAGACAAATGTCCACAAAAGAAGAAGGAGGAAGAGAAGAAGAAAAATATCAGGGTTATAAATGCTGTCCGTGACGGAGGTGACTAGGAATGGGAGGTGTCCTGTGATCAGCCCTGATAATCTCTTGACAGAAGGTTGGAAACCTATTCAAAGGTGTAAGGTAATTTGGTTAATTTCCACCAAGATTGTATTTGCCTCCAGCCCTTGCCCATAAGCAGCCATAATCTGTGCACTGTTAGAATCACATTGCTCTTCAAGCCGCATTATGTGGGGCCCTGGGCTGTGATCTCTCCAGCACCTGAATCTCCAGTTGCCCAGGTTTGAGTTTAAGCTCCATCCCTAACTAGCTGTGTGTTTTTAAAAGTCAACCTACTTATCTGCAAAATTGAGACAAATGTTCAACGAATTGCCTAGTTCGCAAGGATCACTTGAGATAATGAATATAAAAGCATTTTGTGAACTCTAAAGTGCTATAAAAATGTTAGTTAAAATTTAAAATGTATATAGCTTGCATTATAATTACTAGCCTCTAAACTAGAGCAGGGTCAATTACGTATTCTTTTTACCTGCCACAATACCTAACCTAGATCCTGTATTCTAGAGATTACGAGGTTGAATAGTGCTGCACAATAAAAGCTTATAAAATGTATGAAAGAGTCTGTGATTAGTGCCCTCAATGTTATTGTAAACATCACCATCATTACTGTCTTGTTGTAATGCTTTAAAAATTCTGAAAAAAAAAAACAACCCAAGATCTAATCTTTCTTTTCACCAAATCCGCTGAAATGAAGACTACAGAAGCATTTCTTTTTCAAAGTTAAAGCCATACAAATACACCTTTGGCCTAATAATTCCATTCTCACATAATTTGTTTTATCTTTTCATCAAGCTCAACATTATACAGAAAAGTGCAGAAATCATAAGTACAAATACTAATTTTCAAAGAGTAAACATGCAATTAGCCCTACTCCTGGGCTAGAAATGATGCCAGAAAAGAATACCCTAAACGGAAAGGCTGTATTTCTGAAGACATTCACACAGTGTTGCAGTGAAAAAGCTAAATGTTTGATGGAGGAATGATTAGGTAAATGTAGGCACATCAATTTTGAACTGTATACCAAAGTTCATAAAACTCAAATGCCCTTGAGTCATGCAGAGGAGGAAATATGAGAGGCAGCTGAGTACAAGATGATAAGGAAGGAGGTGAGCAAAGGGCAGTAAAAAAAAAAAAGAGAGAGAGAGAGAAAGAGAGAAAGAGGAAGACCCTGCCAGAAGACTTTTACATTAAAATGTTAAAAAATAATAGTAAGCCAGAAGAAAAGAAAACATGATGCTGATCAAACAAAATATGTCATGGGCCAAGTGTACCCATAGGCCTTTGGTTTGTGACCCTAGCTAAGAGACAGAGGGAAATGGAGGCAACATAAACGCAGTAGGTGTGGCAATGTGATTCTAACAGTGCACAGATTATGGCTGCTTATGGACAAGGGCTGGAGGCAAATACAGTCTTGATGGGAATTAACCAAATTACCTTACCCCTTTAAACTTCAATTTCTTCAGTAAAGTAGGGATAACAGGGATAATAGAAAAACAAAACAAAACAAAACAAAAAAAAAAAACAGCCCTCATAGAGTTGCTGTGAAGGTTAAGTACACAGAAAAGTACCTATATAGTTAATATACCGAATTTTCCCTCTCATTATTATTCTTTCTGATTTCATATCCCACCACCCCTTCCCCCATTTCCCGACTCCAGCCACACTAGCTTTCTCATATTTCTCTGACATGCTTTTGCCTCAGGACCCCCATTCTCCGCCTAGTACTGGCCTCACTTCGTGTGGGTCCCTGTGCAGGGGGCCCTTCCTCAAAGGATTGGCCTGCCCCTCACCTGTCTCCGTCTGTCACCTGCTTTACCCTGCACTGCACATAGCACTGCCTGACATCTTATTATGAGTATATTTTTAAATTCATCTGTTTATTCTCTACTGTGAAAGATGAGCTCCATGAAGACAGGAGTTTGCCTCCCTTGCTTAATGCACTTTGCCAGTAGATCCCCGGCACATAACAAACATTCAAGAAATACTGTGGCAGGTTCAAGCCAGAGACATCACGTTTCCTTTTTTTTAAATCCCAGGGCGACAATGTGATTTGTGTCATTAATAATTTAAAAGTATACTTCTTGCCAGTGAGCTGGATAGGTAACTCGTTTATCTTCCCTACTTTGTCTGGCAGGTCAGCCATGCAGAAACTGGGAGCAGAAGTATTCGAGGAGGTCTACAGCTACCTCAAGAGAGCAAGGCAGCAGAGAGCCAGTGAGGCGGAGATCAGAGCATCTCTAGAGAAAGTGGTGCCTCGTGCCAGTGACTGTTTTGAAGTCGACCAGCTCCTCTACTTTGAGGAGCAGTTGCTGATCACAATGGGAGAAGAGCCCACACTTCAGAACCCAAACAGGCAAATGTCAAAAGCAAGCAAGTTCAAGGGAACAAATTTCTGTGAAAATCCCTTCAACATCTAAGTGGGACTGTATTATGGGAGGTGGGTATGCAGCTGGAGCGACCATCTTTTCTCCTAAGTCCTTATCCAGAGGAGTTCGAGGGTAGCAGACCCACACGTCTGCCTGTACTCAGAGTCGCGGGCCGTCAGCATTGTTGGGTTTACACTCTGAGATAAGCACAGGGACCGGGCTGGCCTCCTGAAAAGCATCCCCACAAGTGTACCCTCAGGGCTTCCTCTGGGGATGGGCCACCGGAGGGTGGCCTGGGAGGGGGCTGCTGCTCTTTTCCACATGCTCTTGGAGGGCAGGCTCAGTGTGTCTGCCTCGGTCTCTGGACCATGGCCAGCCTGCCGTTGAAGGTTGTTGGACACTGGCCTCAAACACACTGAGCTGCTGCCCAGGAGTCAGACACGTCTGTCTCAGGTCCACTTTTGTCCTTCCACAGCTAACAAACACGAAGTGCCTATGTATAAAAACCTAGTAAAAAATCCAGAAAGTGATTCTCCTGTGATTTGTTCTTTAGACTCATGCATGGAGTACTGAAGACTCAAGACTCTTATGCTTAATGACCCTGGCTGGTGTGGCTCAGTGGATTGAGTGTTGGATTTGAGTGCCTGCAAATCAAAGCATCACTGGTTTGATTCCCAGTCAGGGCACATGCCTGGGTTGCGGGCCAGGGGCCCAGTGGGGGAGGCGCATGAGAGGCAACCACACATTGATGTTTCTCTCCCTCTCTCCTCTCTAAAAATAAATAAATTTTTAAAAAAGCTTTAAAAAAAGACTTATGCTTAATAAATAGATTATCCATAGTTATATACAATAAATCACCTGTTTTAGCTTTTCTTTATCTAGAAGTATCTTGTTGAGCGTAACACAGCCATCTAATGATAATTATTACTTAGAGCAACTAATATTTGGTTTATTAGGAGCCTATTATATACCAGTACTGTGCTTACTACTGTAAGAATGTATTGGATGTTTTCACCAAGGGTGGTGTGGGGGAGAGAGAATTACCCTCACTTTATAGCTGGGAATGCTTGAGGCTGAGGAAGCTCAAGTTAGGTAACGGGTTGGTCACACAGCCATGAGAAACAGCTGGGATCACACTCGGCTCTGTCCGGTTCCAGCACCCGTGCTCTTACCCACTATGCATCTGGGCTTCCAACTGAGGACAGACACGCACTTAAGACACTGCCCAGCGAAGAACACCCTGGGTTTAAGACCATGGTATAGAGGAGGAAAGACTTCCTCTACCCTCTTAGGTTCTGCAAATCAAACTGGGGCCTACAAATTAAGCTGACAAAAGATAGACTAACAGGAGAAAAAGCATACAGGTTTTATTTAATATTAATATTTTCATGTGGCATGGGGCTTTCTAGAAAGAAGTGAAAACCCCAAAGAAGCATAAGCTGAGCCTGAGAGCTTATCTACCATTTTAACAAAAGAGCAATCAATTTGTGGAGAAGTGATAAATCAAAAGAAAAGGGATTTGAACTCCTAAGAGGGTTAAACTGTGGGAAAGTAACTAAGAAATATATGTAGGAAACTAATGGAAGATAAGGGTTAATAGGTTTGTTTATTCAGATCCATCTCAGGCTTGAGACCAAGAATGTTCTCTTCCTGGTCCCAAGAGGGCACTTTTCGCATGGGAAATTTATGCTTTTAGGTAGAAAGGGGGAAAGCAGAGAGCTCTTCCAACAGCTGCTGTTTCTTATTTGCTTTCAGCTCAAAACAATCCTTCTGCGAGGGTGACATATTTTGGGTGGCATATTCTGACCCCCTACAATGTCTAGGCAGACAAGTGTAGATTGAAAACAACTGGTCTTCCTGGGGCTTGTGCTATCTGTCATCATATGAGGCTTGCAAGAAAGCAGAGCTAAGAAGAAAGACCATTTTGGATCACAGCTCCGTGTCTTGTAAAAGGAACACATGTTTATCTTTCACTTGGCTCACTGGGAGCAGTGGCACAAGATTTAAGATGACTTCAAACAATACTTTTTTCATATTACTATTGGGAAACGCTCTCCTCCTCAGCCACACTCAGTGTGGGTTGAAATAATTCTACCGGTATCTCATCTACCCCTGGTGATTGATTTCTTCCCAATACTTTCAGGGCAGCGCTTACTTCATTTTCTAAAATTACAGGTTCTTCCTGATAGGAATCTTCTTCGAAGGTATCTGTCATCCTTTTGTCTTTTCTGTATAGATTTGGGGTACACCATTTCCACCTTCGCCTTATTTTCTACTCGTCAGGTAATGTACTTCCTTGTTGATAGTTCAGCATTCCAAGTCTGGGTTTGAATTTCCCTTTTATTGCTTTAATCTTTTGGCAGAGATCTTTGGTTTGGTTTTTCCTTTTTGTCTTTCTCTTCTATCTCCTTACATCAAACTAGGAAATCCATTGAATTATGTAGAACTAGGAAAGACCATCAAGAGCCAAGATGGGTCATTAGAGACCAAGGCTAAGATCATCCACATACTCATATTCCCAATTACTATTTATGGAGGCAAATGTTGGACAGTGAAGAAGGCTGATGGGAAAAATTTGATTTATCTGAAATATGGTGTTGGAGGAAAGCTCTACACGTACCCTGGTTTGCCAGAAAGATGAAAAAGTGGGTGGATCCTTGAACAAATGACTCCTGGAACATTGCTGGAGTCAAAAATGACAAAATTAAAGCTGTCCTACTTCGGGCACATCAAGAGAAGGCAGGGTTCTTTGGGAGGAGAAAAACAGGTGGAAAAATAGAAAACAGCACGAGGAAGACCAAGTATGAGATGGATCGACTCCACGATAGAATTCATAGACAGGAGTCCGCAGGAGCTGAGCAGGGATGCTGAGGACAGGACCTCGTGGACAACATTCATTTATAGGGTCGCCAGGAGTCAGAGACAACTCAGCAGCACATAACACACACACCAGGGTAGGTATTAATCACTAACCAATTGCAAGATGATGAGCAGAAATTGGCTGATGAATTAGAGAACTAGGAAGACGCTTGTTATGAAACAAACACAGGCATGAGGGAATAAATGGGCCCTACTAGCTTGCTGCTATGTAAAATATACATATATTTCACAAATGCCAGTTGACCTTTCTGCTTTCCATTTATGCAGAGGAAATGCCACCAGCTATTTTGGGTGATGCAGAGATAAGACACACAAAGGAGTATGACAGAAGTTAATTATTTAATGTATTTGGACTGAGGCTGGAGCAAAAGCTCTAGGTCTATTATTAAGAATCCAGCCATCACGGTGAGTTGATAAATAGTAGCTGAAAGGGAAAACATACCCCATTCCCTTTCAGGATGATGGAATTGCTAACTGATGTGTCAGAAGGAAATGAAGCCAGGCCACCAAGATAATAAAGGAGCAAAAATAACAAATGAGGCAAAAGAGAAGTTGTGTGTGTGTGTGTGTGTGTGTGTGTGTGTGTGTGTGTGTAAGAAAGAGAGACAGAGATTGGGGACGAGAAGAGGGACAAGGGTGGACACACAGGAAAGAAGATTTTTAAGTGATCTGCCACAACCTATATAAGGAAAAAAATTAAACTCGATACCAGGCTCCTAAACCTGCTCTTGCCATGTACTGTGTTATCCAGGACAAGTCATCTTCTCTGAGTCTTAGCTGCCTATGTCTGAAGATTGCTGTAAAGCACAGGTAAGACAATGTAAGAGTCTGTGTCACATGCCCCTGCCAATGGGGTTCACCATAATCGGGGGAAATGCTTTCAACACTGTAAGATGCCCTCAACTTTGCAGAAGAAACTATTATTGATTTTATGGTCAGGCTACCTGATCTCCCATCACTGGAGGTTCATTTCTGAAGGCTTCTTTAGGTTTCTAAGATTCTCTTACTACCATGCAAACACACCCCAAAGGACCCACTTTTAGCCATATTCAGCTAGCACTTGATTAAAAATTCGCTGACAGTTGGCTAAGACTCTGAAAAAAGCAGCTCTGAAAAGGCCGGTGAGCGGCCTCTGAGGACCAGCCATGCCCTCTGCACTGAGCCTCCAGGACCTTCACACTCCATTAACCTGCTGCGCAACCCCAGAGTTAGCGGCATCACCGTACCCTGAGGATGCTCGGTTCTTCCCCAGCGTCAAAAGGAAGTTCAGAAATTTAGTCCAACAAGTATACGAGGGTACTATAAAATAACATTCATAAATATTCATTAGGAGTACCGAAGTCATTAACATGTATGCAGAATTAAAAGCTTGACTCCCAACGGGAATATTTTCAAAGTAGATTGGTAGGATTCATTCGACAGACTATCTTTCAACAGCTAGAAATGTTTTTCTTTGGAAAATATTGTGGCTTTGTCCTGCTCTGAAAGATTAAATTTTGGGTTCCAGTTCAGCCCTCCCTGGACCCCTGACTCTTCCTTTGTAACTTCGTAGTTCTTCACAGCACGCCCTCCCCCCCCACCACATTCCCTCACCCCTGAGAGTACATTTCCCTACCCCTTGACTTGGAGTTTGGCCACGGACTTGTTTGGGCTGAGCGATCGCTGAGTGATTGCAGGTGCAGTTGATTATGTTCTCCTGTGCCTCTGCCCTCACGAGCTAGTCCGCGGGTCACAGGGGGAGGCCGAGAGCTGTGGGGCAGAGCCGCCCCGGCCCGCCCCGGCCCGCCCCGGCCCGCCCCAGCTCGGGGGATAAGCAAAGCCACGCCTGGCAATCTGCAAACTCCTGAGCCTGAAGCAAATGCTTACTGCCGTATGCTCTGGGGGCCTTGTGGTTTTTTAATGTGCACTTTTATGGCAATAAGCTAACGAGTACACCTCCCTTCTCCAGACATCCCTCTCTATTCCTTCTCTTAATGTCTTTTATCAAATCCCTGG